ATTAAATTAAATTTACTAAGTGAAAGTATCCAATATTCTCTCTTTGGCAGGTAACAAAAATGGAGCTGAATGACTCTCATCTCAACTCCACATCCTCCGGTTCAGGAAATGACACCGGTGTGGATAACATAATTGGAACCTCTATGGGCGCCCTCATCCTAAGCCTTGTCTTTCTCTTGGGCTTCCCTGGCAACGTCTTCATCATCTGGAGCATCCTAGCTCGTGCCCGAAAGCAGTCCGTCACCACCCTCCTCATCCTCAACCTAGCTATCGCAGATGGCTCTCTTATGGCTCTCACCCCATTCTTCATCATCTACCTGGTTTTGAAGAATTGGGTGTTTGGGAATGTGATGTGTAAGGTCCTCTTCTACCTGTGTCTGGTCAACATGTACGCCTCCATCCAGCTCATCATGCTCATGAGCATCTACAGGCTGGTGGCAGTGCTGTGGCCGCAGCGTCTCAGTCTTTTCACTGGCCGGAAGACTGTATTGTGTGTGCTGGGGGTGGTGTGGGTGCTGGTGATGGTTGCCTCTGTTCCTGCATTGATCTTCAGAGAAATGAAGGAGAAGAAAGATTCCATGGAATGCAAATCATTCCATGAACCTGAAAGCTATGTGAGTAAACAAAAATCTGAATATATTTCCTTCATACTGTCAATACCATAAAGCGCTCTCCACCAAGGCTGTACAATCCTCAATATTTTTAGTTCAATAATATGAAATATATAGAAGGTTTTCATTATGCATCCTAATCTGGATCTGCAGCAAAACAGACATGGTGATACACAAATATATTGATTTATGGAGAATGCTGTTGCTTTGGGAACATTAGGTCAGACTCATTGCAACTTGACCGCAGACATAGCTGTTTGACTTTACCATGTTGCTGTAGAACCCTATATTATTATATATTAATAATAATTAATTTAACATTTTCTGAGGTTCATATGTATTCTGTCATCAACATTTGGTTGTGTGTTCAAGTTTTATAGTAAAATAGAAAATGCCTACAAGAATAGAGCAACCTTTAATCTGTAAATATTCTCAGTCATCCACGTCCAGTGTATGGCATAAAGGCATTAAACATTAAGGGATTACAATTTGAAATTCAGTAATTACATCACAATTATTAATCCCAGTAAAACTCTGGTACTTTGACATGTTGTCTGCTTGTTCTCTGCTTGTGTCTCAATGGGAGATACATGGAGATACATATCTGCTGAGTCTGAGGTGTTAGCTTGGTGAAGGGGTTAGAGGTGGAGAGAGGTGGTTTTTGTCATTCAGACATTACGTAAGTGTCAGTATGGCTGCCTCCACTGTTGAGTGAGAGTTGTTTCAATCTAACACTTAGATGGGATTAGATTTACACGAGACTCCAACAATTTTAAATCATGTAAATGTTTAGAGGTCTTGTGAAGTAGCATAACATATGAGAAAATAATTGCATAAAGCCTTCGGAGGGAACTGTGTGAAGTCTGATGAATTGTGTGATGTGATGGTGTAATGTTTAAAACATGACAAACTGATAATCCAGCATTTACAACCATTTGGACAGTTGTGCGGAGGTCAGGAAGGAGGGTTTGCAACACTGTAATTACCAGGAGAGACTGCCTGAAAATGTGCACTGTTCTTCCCTTATTTAAACAATATTGCATCTCCATATAGCTATTTACTTTGAGGATTAAGGATTGCCAACTATAATTTCTAACATGGTGAGGAAACACGTCAACTAGTTTGGATCGAGCATAACCTGATTCTTAGAAAGAGGTAAAGTTACCAGACACCTTATGCCGGCGCTTCATATGTTTGAGGCTAGCAGCTCGAGCCTACATTAGCCACTGTAACCATCTGAATGTCTGACCGAACTCTTGGCGCTGAAGTTGCATTGTGGGTTATGTAGGTACCAGGTTTTGATATTGTGAGTCTGATAATGGTGGAGTACTCCAAATTAATAATTATTTAGAGCCATCTGTAAAGTACCAAGCTGTCAGTACTGTATTTGTTACCGGTTATCTCATGAGGCACACCATATCATTCTGAAGGAGAATTCAAAACTGATCCTACATGCAACAGAGAAAAGCATTTAAACCATTTTGATTTGCTTGATTCCCCTAATCATTCTCTATTTTTTCCCTAAATCACCTTTCCATCATGTTGGCATCTCTGCATTTTGAAACACATCTCGCTGCCTTTTGGAGGCAGCCTGCATGTGATTTGATCTGGTGCAGAGTAGATAGAATATTAAATTATATCTCCTCTGCACAGGCGGCCCTCCATTACACACTGGAGCTTGTGTTGGGGTTTTTAATTCCCTACAGTATCATTGTAGTCAGCTACATCCGCATCTTACGGCGACTCCAAAACACCAAGTTCGGCCGTCGAATTCGTAGCGAGAAGCTCATCCTGGCCATTGTGTTGACCTTCTGCCTCTTTTGGTTGCCCTACCACATCATCAATATGGTGCAAGTATGTCACACATTCTGTTTTTACAGTAACACATTCTTCCAAGTATGGATGTAGAGTACATAGAGTCTTTGAATGTATTCAGTATGTGTCTAGGTTTAATATTAACATTTTTCACTGCTATTAACTAAGTACATTTGTATTGTCCTCAGGTTACATGGGCTTTGTTACCAGAGGGTCAAGGAAAAAAATTGTAAGTGACAATTTGCGAGCATCTTACCTTCATAGCTAATAAAATTCAAACACAAATCAGTCATTAGTGTTATCCTTTACGTACAGATGGGAGTAATTAGTTGTTTCAAAGTCAAATTGGGCCATTTAGTGCATCACTCAACACTTTGGAAAATATGCTTATCATTATATTATTATAAGCAGGCTTTGGAAGTAAAGTTTGAGATTAGATGTAATGGCGTTATTTAATTAAGATACAAAAAGAAGTAACTGGATCCTGTTACAGTACAAAAAAAATATGTAATCAGATTACTGGTACATTTCATAAAAACGGGGATTACTCACAGGGATTACTTAAAGTTCCCATGAAACAGAAAGCGGTGTGCTATTTGCTTACCTATATGTACATGGTTCCTGTCAAAACACAAAGACAGGGAGAGACTTGTCACAGATATTGATTGAAGTTTACTGTAGCCAGTAGTTTAATGTGCGTTACGCCCACACCCCGTCATGCAGACTCTGTGCGGACTGGTCTGTAGCTCTCAGTGAGTGAACACAGCCGCCGGATCGGGACTAGTCATGGCAAGTACGACTCTTTTGACAGACTCGAATCTTCAAATCTCGTTCATTAAGATGAACTAATGTTTTTTTGAGTCATTTCGTTCATTTGAACTAGGCTGGTTATTTTGGCGCTGCAGCCCTCTAGTGGGTGATTAAAAGACAGCACCGTTCTCAAACACAGAAGGTTGCCTGGCTTGCTTTATTTGACAAAGTATAATGCACAAATTCACCTCTTGATTACTATATATCATCATTATATATGATCGCGGGCCACTCTTGGGTGTGCGTGTTAAGTACGGAGCAAGATCCTGCAGATGGTTAATTTAGCTTAGCATAATGGATGCAGTTTGAAACTACTAGCCTGATTTTCTCCAAAGTTCAAAAATACTGTCACCTATAAATCTCAATACTCCATACTTAACACACAGATATGAGATTGATATTGATCCTTCATCTAACACTTTGAAAGATGGTGAATTGCAGCATTCTTTAAATTGACTTTAAAATGATAATATTACAATAATTCTGTAGAGTAAATTGTGCAGTGTCACAAAACACAATGGCTCGTAGCCTAAAACAATACATTTTGCCTAGTCTGTGACCCATTTATGTACATCAAGGCAAGAGTTTTTTTCTCTCATTTGTCTCTAATAAAATGCTCTGCTCATTTCCCCATCCTCCAGGTTGTATAAAATATGGGACAGCAGCCGTGCTGTCACCTCTTCTATAGCCTTCATGAGCAGCTGTGCCAATCCGGTGCTTTACTTCTTCGCAGGAAAGTCCTACATCCGGCGAGAAGGACTGGCGTTCATGGCCCGCTTGTTTGAGCGAACAGGGCTGGACTCGGCTAGCAGGAAGAGCAGACAGAACAGCCAAAACAGCCGTGACAAAGACAAAGATGCAGATACTGTTATACTACAGGACAAAGATCCAGAATCTGTTACCAACTCGAGCTCTAATGTTAAACCTGTAAAGAATGGTAAGTAGAGGACACAAGAGGCTATAAGCTTGAAGCTGGTGGTGTTCCTCTGGAGGGGAAAAAAAATGACCACTCAGCCTTCAAATCTCTGTCCAGTCACAAAAACTTCTAAAATTTGGACAACATTAAGGGTTCCTGGTTTCTGCAGTCAAGAATTCAGATTCACAGTAGCAGTTCAGATTCAGCTGCTGCACAACGTGAATCTTTGAAAGGGATGTAACTAGGCATCCTACAGTGACATTGTTGTGTCTGAGATGGTGCTTAAACAATACAGCACATTAGAACTGTATATTTGATGAGCTATGAACTCTGCTATGAACTCTTTCATATGAAAAAACTGTGGAGTATTATCCAGGACACATATACTCCTCACCGCTTCAAAAACCCTGTTAAATTCAAGATCTAACCTTCAAAAAGAGGCAGTATGTTATGTTTACTGTACATGCTTCCTGTGATGTCAGTGAGACTTCTTTACAAGATTTATTTGTGCCTTTTGGACGCACTTGACTTTGTTTTTACAATAGTCACACTGTTGTGTTTGCTTTGTGTGCTTCTCTGTTACATTTTGTTGGTATGTTTTATGTGTTTAAAGCTGTACGAATTTTTTTTTTTTTTTTTGGCCATTTGATGCCACAATGGCAATGACAAAGCAGAAGCAGAATAAACAGAGATGTGGACCCAGATGCAAACAGTCACTAATACAGAAACAAGGCTTACATGTGTTGGTGGCAGGTAAATGTCCAAACAAAGGCAGAATCCAAATGTTGAAAGCATTAATCCAGACGGAAGATATATTCAAATGTCCAGCAGAGTAGTGAGACACTGAGACACGCAGGATCACTCGACAAAGAGCCGACAAAGACTGAACAGAACTGAGGACAATATTTACAGACAACCACACAAGCAGGAAGGGTGCATGAACATGATCAGGACAAAAGACAGGAAACAAAGCTAGATAAAGGCAACAGTGGCAGACAAACTTCTAAGTAAACTGAAGGACACTGAAGTATACAGAAACACATTAGGAAGAAGTTAAAATAAAACATTGACAAAACTAAACTTTCTTTAAAATGTGGAAGTTAAATTTCTGATGTTCTCTTGCATTGCATTTATAAAGCATGATTACTTGTTTTTTTTTAGTGATGGGTTGTTTTCGGTACTGTTCTGAACTGAAGGGAATGAATGAGAATGAGACCAGAGGCAAAACTGGTTTAAATACAGTATATACTATATGAACCATGGTCCATCCATCTAAAAACAAAAGTCAAAAGTTAACATTTCTATTTGACCAACTCCTGAGGGAAATATTATCTGTGCAATGCTCCACTATGTTCACCAGCTAGTTGCTAACTTTGTCTGTCTGCCATTTGGTGCTGGACAGGTTGTATACAGTGGGTTTATCTTCTTTTTTTTTTGCTGACCCATGAGTGTAAATCAAAACAGTAGAGAGTTTTTCTTTGGGATTGTCATATTGATTAGTGCAGCTTTAAACAGAAAACCCTAATCTGAAGTATTTTTTATACTTCACTGTGAGCATGCATGTAAAAAACTCTAAATGCAGAAAAATACAAAATGATGTAAAGCACTTTTTCCGGAAAATGTGGCGCATCACAACTTTTTTATGCAATTCAATACGTCCTGTCTCTAACTTGAGTCAAATGAGATATGTGGAAAGAGAAATATGCTGTAAATCTGCCAAAATGTCTGGTGCAAGAGAAGAAAACTATGAACACGATAGAGGCATGATTTCAACATGTATTATGATGTATCAACAACATCCTGACAGTTTACCGTAATATTCACTCCCTGCCTTATTCACCCTCATGACGGTGTCTTGCGCTGTTCATTCTTGCTCTTCATTTAAAATGATGTCATCTGCTCTTTTCTGTTCTAAAATTTGTCAAAATATTTCACATTATGAAACAACATTAGCATGTCTATTTTCTGGATAACTGCAAATACTGCTCTACAAAGGAGATGTGTCAACATTTCTTTGTGAAGCTGCTGTGTATACCAGTATAATGTAGTATGTAATGCACCAATCTGCAATAATAGAATCAAATGTGCAGGAGGAACAACGGCTTCGTTGAAAGTGACTCAAGCTTGCTTCCTGTTGTCACAGGATTTCCCTTCACATGACCCCTCTTACTCAATATATTTTTATATATATATATATATATATGTACATTTATTTTTCTCTTCACATGCAGTCTTTAAAGCAGAGGGTAGCCTAGGAGTTAATAGCAGATCAGGCAAGGTGTAAAATAAATGGAAACTGGTAAACATTTGGAGTGGATCTACAGCTGAAGGTATGTGGATGTATAAGGAGTTTTATATTATTCATTAAAACATTACCAATTACCAAAATAGATTTTCCTCTAAAGATAACTGACAAAAACATTTTAGCATACAATTATGTCACACAACTAAGAGAAGGAACGTTAATCTAATGAGAAAGAGCTATTATTATTTAAGTACAACTGGTGAACATTTCATCACTATTTGTGAATTATAATTTATTTCGTAACATAAAGGCAGCTGCTTTCTGTGAAACGTTTCTTTTAGAACGAGAAGATTAAAAGGTTTGATAAGTTTACATTGATCCTCACTGTCTCTTCCGCTCCTTAGTCATTTTGTGGTTCTAATTACCGGTCAGATTAATTCAGCACATATCATGCTCCTTCAAAAGACCTTTATATTCTCAGATTTATTTGCACAGCTAAAGCACACGAGAGGTGCTGGCTTGCAGGTATAAAAACATTTCAGCACATTCTGACCATCTTTACGACTTTAAATTAAACAATGCATCAGAAGCAAATTGCAAAAAAAGAAAAAAAGAAAATAAATATATACATCTCAATCTCTGTAGATCTGAACAATGCAGGACATTAAACAAAATCTTAATATAATATAATATAATAATTATAAAATAATAATAATTAAAGTCTTAATACTGTCGCACCACACCAGAAAAAGTCAAAATGACAAAAGAAAACAAGTATACACTTTTCAGTACACAGTGCTTTATTTGACAATGCAATATTAGTGGACTATTCATGCTACACTGTTCAATTTGTTTGCTGCACACAAATCGCAATAAAAAAACGCAATAAATGTTCGGTTATCACATCATGAGAAACTTACAGTGATAATGTATCAAGAAAATGTATGTATGTATGCATCAAGAAAATAGCATTCTGGGTCAACGACATTGCTCCTAAATTTTCATTGAAATTATTTTCGAAAACTTTATCTGTTTATGCATTATAACTGGAATTTTGTCCCTGACTTTGCATTACATATTAACGGGATATTGTGTTCACTTGTTTATATTGTGTGACAATTGTATTTGTCTGCTTGTAATGTATTTGTTGTAACACTGTTTATGCTGCTGTCTCGGTCACTCTTGAAAAAGAGATTTTAATCTCAAGTAGACTTTTGCTTGGTTAAATATAGGATAAATGTATTGCCACAAAGGCAGCACATAAGCTTTTATCTTGTTTATGCTTGTTTGATGATTACAGGAAACTGTCGTCTGTCATGTTCTAGAAATATGTTGTGTAAAGACAGTAACACAGATAGAAAAAAAACCATTGTGCAATATTCCGTGGCATTGACACACATTTACATGTTAAAAACTTGATACAACATATCCTGTTTCCTGTCTGTTTCTTGAAGCTTGTGTCAGATTCAGAGTTGTTGAAGCCAAACTCAGATCCTTCAGAGGCTGTCCAGATGGCATCCAATATCACCACCACCTTCCAGTCCTCCTCTGCATCCTTTTCTCTGCCTATCAGTGCCTCAGCCATGGCTGGGATCGCCATCCTGACCATGGCGTTTGTGCTGGGCTTCCCCGGAAACCTATTTGTTGTTTGGTCGGTGCTCTGCCATGTGAAGAAGCGCTCAGTGACCTGTCTGTTGGTGCTTAATCTGGCACTGGCAGACGCTTTTGTGCTACTCAGTGCCCCTTTTTTCCTGCGCTACCTGGCTGGAGGCAAGGGCTGGGAGTTTGGCTTGGCAGCATGCAAGCTGGTGCATTACCTTTCAAGTGTGAACATGTATGTGTCCATTTACCTCATCTGCCTGATGAGTATGGACCGCTGGCTGGCCGTAACAAGGCCTTTTCTCTCCCAGAGAATGAGAACCAAGCGTTCCCTGCTGGTTCTCCTGCTGGCGGTCTGGGTGTTAGCTTTCATCCTGTCACTGCCGATGCCTTTCTATCGCAGGTAAGACTAAAATTTCCTTTGAAACTATAATGTTTCTAAATGTGCAAAGTACACTTTTTAATGGCTGCCACATGATGTGAAGTGTTCAGTACTGTGTGGAATATATTTTTAAGCAATATTTTTAATTTGATGAATTAATACATTTGAAAATGTCTTATCTGAATTTTTCTTTCATAACAAAATCAACCATAATTAGAAATATGATGCTTTCTATTTTTGGATTGTAGTTATTAGTTATTTTCGAAGACAATAACAGTGTGATGCAGTTTAGCAGGCAGACAATATGTATATGGAAGTTAATCAACAAGAAAACAATTGGTTGGGGCGCCCAGGTGGCCTAGGGTTTAAGGCTCTAACCATGACCCATCACTATATAAAATCACAGCTGTACAAAAGCTTTTAGGTGAGCAAATGAATCATAATTAAAAGACATGATGACAGATGCAGATTTATGACATGATGAAAATAGTCTGCCGTGGCTGTAGTCTAAGAACATAATTTACAACTCAAACCCAATTGTTATTCTCTCAGGTGGTGTTTGCATGAGAACAATACAAACTGCCCAAACGGAGAGTGTGCAGGTTTTAAGACAGTTAGAAAAGAAAGCCCCGTCCTTCACTCAAATCTGCATGGTTCCTCTTGTGGGCTCAAAAACAGATTTTTTCCATCTTAAATATCTGTTCCTATGTGATCTTAAATCTTGATTTGTTGTGTAATAGTTTTGTCACTAATAAACTTCCATACATCTCGTCATGGTATAGTTAATATAAAAAAGGTTTGGCCTTCACTTCAGACCTTTCTCTCAATTGTCACACATTTTAGTGTGGTTCAGAAATATGCAGATATATCTGCTATACATTTGGGCTGATACATTAAAGCATGTTGTTAGTAGTATTAGTTAGTAGTAGTAGTATATCCACTGTCACATTTACTTTCTGTTTGTATGAATTGTTTCCTCATCTTCTCTGACAGTAATCTGAAGAAGACACTACCAAACAACATCACTCTGAGCTTTTGCATCTCATACCACTGGGACAGCACAGGTCACAGGGTCTTCCAGTACCTGTTTGAGACTATCATGGGCTGCCTCGTGCCTTTCTCCCTCATCAATACCTGTTACTCCTCCGTCATCTGCCGTCTGCAAAGCGCAAAGTTCCACCTTAAAGGGCAAGGCAGCCGCCTCATCCTGCTGATCATCAGTGCCTTTGCAATATTCTGGCTGCCCTATCACATCGTCAACATCATAGAGGTGATTTTGTTAAGCTTTAGATCTTAGAGCTATTAGATGCCAAAAATGTGCAAGCATTCAAACAAGTAAAGTCAGCATAATTAATGAAATTATTTTAAGATTAAGATATCTGTAATGCATGTTGACCCAGACCAATTATGACACATCACTTTCTTTAAACCTACAAATAAAGATATTACTACACCCTGAATCCTTCAGTCAACCCAAGTTGTTATATAAAAACTGTGGGTTTTGAAACTCTTCATCCCATCATCATCACTGGAATTTAAAAGCTTCACAAATGAATGTAAATGTTCAAATAGAAGGACTATTTTGCTCAACTGAACTACAGACCTTTATTTGAAACAACTTCATATTTTACATAAATCCTATTCTAGTAAGACTTTTTCCAGTAAGATTTTTCTAACATGCTCTTGTTATAATTTACTGTTGATGCTGTTTGTTCTAAATGCAAAATCTACAATTATTACTTTTATCTGAAATACTGTTCTCATTCACTATTTAATTGCAGTTGGTTCTACTTTGCTGTTTTTTGATTCTGTGTTTGGTGACTGTCAATAACAGTGAAGTTTCACATTAAAAGTCTTCAGGAGCCTTAAAGGGAATGATTCTCCCCTTTGCTCATATATTTTAAAGTGAAACCGCTGCAGGAAATGTTGAGTTTTATTGACAGTAGCTTACGCCAGGTTAAAAAAGAGCAAAGTAGAAGCGACTAAAATGAAATAGGCAGTGAGAACAGTTTTCCTTCCTTAAAGAAAAAAACTCAAGAGCCACAAAAGTGGTCTGTATGATGTGGCTCTGCTGTTGTACCAGTGGAATTAGTGCTGACAATAAGCTGAATTTACCAGAGCCATTATAGAACAGGTCATTTCACCACCTCACTGTTTTTTGACCAGGCCTTTATTTGAGGGACCTTTATTAGTTTTGGGCTGCATATGTCCACATCACTTAATTGAGAATGTATTTATTTCCTGTTTCCTCCCTACCTATAACCTTTTTTTCTTTTTTCCCTCTTCCAGGTGGTCGGTCTATGTGCGAGCAATGATTCAGTGATCGAGGCGGCAATTACAGCGCGTCCAAATGTCATAGCCTTTGCTTACTTCAGCAGCGCTGTCAACCCCATTCTCTACGTGTTTGCTGGCAGCTCCCACATCCGCCAGGCCGGCCTCAGCTTCATGGGCAAGCTCTTTGAGGCCACCAACTCGGAGAGCAGGAGCGTATCTACCTTCAGCCGTAGTGTCCATATGAGCCGCAGCAGCTCTTCACCGGATGAGAGCTCTGTCCTGTACACGCTATCGGTCAAACTGGGGAAGTCTTTCAAAAGCAAGAACCAGGAAAGGAGCAGCAGTGTGGCAGGCAATGAGTTCAATGAGCCTGAACTCAAAACTCTGGCCAGTATTGAGGAGCTAGAGTAGCACTTCATCTATGCTCCAAACCCAAGACATTTTTCCTGGGCTACACTTCTTCATTAATAAATTATACACAAACAAGCCTTAACTTCCATGACTTTAGAAATTAGACTGAAAAATGTTACCTATGCAGTCATAAAACCTGTCAACAGAATCTACATTTCATAGTTGAAGAACCAACACCTGGCAATGTCACACAACCATGAAAAGAAGTACAGCCTCGCAGAGCCATTAGCATGGCCGTCTTGTTCAAAGAACGACTGTTCACAGGTAAAGCCATAACCCCAAAAAACATTTTCCTTGTTTTTCTTTCCTTGTTTCAGAAATGTACAAAATAATTATCATGTGTCTGAGTTCATATATTTTTAATCACTGCCTCTTTTTGTCAAATAAAAATAATGTTTAAATTTGTGGTCACACACATGACCACATATCTCTTACATGTAGGAATTACAATGTTGTTTTTATTTTTTATAGAAATGTGTATGGTAATTTGTATTCATCAATAAAAGACAATGTGTTAACTTAATAAAGTTTTTATTTATTTATTTGAATTCCGGCTGCTGTGTAATTTTCACAAGAGGTCCAGATAAGTACATGGAGTCCTGTCCTTTTCACACATGTATGCCATTATAATGTACGCAATGTTCAGCAGCATGAACAGAATATTGCAAAATAAAGATTTCATCACTTTTGTACATCACTATGTTCGCTATTTCATAACACCTGACTAAAACTGCCGAGTTACAACATTTGACATGGTTAAATGTAAATGCTCCGTACTTGTATAGCGCCTTTCTAGTCTTTTCGACCACTCAAAGCACTTTTACAGTACATCTGCATTCACCAGTCATACACATTCATACACTAAGCCTAAGTGCTCAAACGCAAACTAACATTAACTAACAGGGTTCAGTATCTTGCCCAAGGACACTTTGACACGCAATCAGGGGGAGCCAAGGATTGAACCGCCGGCCTACCGATTAACGGCCAACCCGCTCTACTTCCTGAGCCACAGCCGCCCCAATCTCCTTTAAGGTTCAAACAAGTCTCAAATTTCTTGTGAAAACTGAGCAAAGGGCAAAAGGGAACATTTTTACAGAGTAGTCAAGTAGTGAACGACAGTGAATAGAGAGATCTAATACAGGATGTTGACAGGATGATGACAAAATGTCTTACTGAGCTGAGATTTCCCCATCAATCACGTCTGAATTGACTGGTGACGCAGTAGGCCTAGCGCTGTGAGAGACATTAGAGCTGCAACTAAGAATTCATTTCATCATCGATCAATCTGTTGATGATTTTCAGAATTAAAACAGATAGAATAGTTAGAAAACAGAAAATAGTGAAAAATATCAATCAGTCTTTCCCAAAGCCCATGACGTCCTCAAATGTCTTATTTTGTCCACAAACAAAAGACATTCAGTTTACTGTTCAAGTGGAGTAATCAAACCAGAAAATATTCACATTTGAGAAGCTGAAATCAGATAATTCGGATATTTCTTCATGAAAAATGAATCAACGTAGTTGCCAGTTAATTTAATACTTGACAACTGAATAAATTAATTTTTATAAACTAGATTCGGGAATAAAGACCATGCCTCGAACACAACCCATTTCCGTTCAAAGTATTTAAGTAAGTAAGTATTCATTAAGTATTTCATTTTTTGAACCTTGTGGTGTTTTCGATGCTTTTAGCCAGACACCAGGTTTGCAATCTCCCCTAACATATATAACTACTTGTTATCACAGGAACAACATTTCATATTATTTAGGTAATGTTGTGTAAAAATTTCAAGACTTAGGCCAGATAAAAAATCTTGAACAAAAACAGATACCAATTAGAATATAAAAGTTTCACCGGAGAGGGTCAAAGATCGATGCAGAATAGAGCCCCAGTCTTTTACCAGAACAGAGACCGGAGTTGACATGAAGCCATGTAACAACTGATTTCAACTTCCTTTGGACCTCCTTTTATAGCTCTGTTTCTTTTTCTCTTGGCTCTCTTTCCTGCTGCACATGGATCTGGGGAAATTCCCAGATATTCGGCTGTCTCTCTTTCATCATTTTCTGACCTTTCAGCATTTGGTGGATTTTTATTTCACTATGACTGTTTTGGGTGTCTCTTATCATCTTTTGGCCTTTCAGCATTTGGTGGATTATGACTTTTATTTCACTATGATTGTTGCATTCTTGGCCTAACTACACTGCTCACCCTCTCAGTGTCCTTGCCATGCTTCTGCTGATGATAATATCTCAACCATAACCTGACTTTGTGGAATGAGCTGGTGTCTTTTGTTCTGTGTGCTAGAAATAGGGCATTCTTACTGTGCTCCCTCACTCTTCTGTGTGTCCTCCTCTAACTCTGCCCAACAGCACACATGCTTGTTTACACAGACACGCACACACACACACACACACACACACACGCACACACACATACACACAGAGCTATAGAGTTTTAACACTGTGATCTTACCTGTCTATATAGAATATATCGGCATATGTTTTGTAACGCAGTTTTCACACAAATCTGCTTCTACATTCCTTCTACATTATAAAGAGTGAAAGAGAAGCCAGAAGACAAAATCTTAGATTAGAAAACACTTTGAAGAATTACAATTGTTAATTTTATTACAGTTACACTCACCTGTGACACACACAAACTCACACACACACACACACACACACACACACACACTCAGTTCTAAATGTATACCTCTATCACTGATAACAGGATGCTGTTTGTGAATGTGAGGCAATAAATAACAGATAAATAGGACAACACTGTTGTGCAATGCAGATTATTTATTGTTGTGGGTTGTGTGACCTTATTTAGCAAAAAAATGTTTGACTGAAGTGTTGGAGAGTCAACTGGTAAAAATTATTTCACACACTTTGAATTTCTTGAGCTTTTACACAAATGTCAGTGTATTACATTTGGAGTAAATTGCTGCTTTGGTGCATACAGTATGACCCCATGTTTTTAATTAAACGTTTAATTTTAACAGGTAGGCTAAATGTTTCATTAATATCTTTTTTTGCACATCGTTTGGGTTCTGCTTCGGTTTAGATAGGGTCAACCTAATTTAACAGTGGACCAGCACAACAATACTAAAGTCCACGAAACATAGGCGGAAATCTCGGGGGGGAACGGGGGGTTCAAGGGGTTCAAGTCCCCCCCCACTATCTGAGGGGTGCCCCCCATTAAAGTCCATCAAATAATATAATGATATATACTTTGAATAACTGTGTGAATAGGAAAACAATACAAACGTAAACAGGGCAATTAAAGTTTGTTTTAAGTTTAGAAACATTTTGAGTCCCTCCTCCCTTGCCTGACAGTGGTTTGGTCCACAGCCTGCTTTGCCTCACAGGAGTTCCATCGGAGAAAACCAGTTCAAATCCTTCAGTAGTTGTGGAGCTCCAGTAATGTTAAGCAGGCTGCAGGGCTGTTTTATGCACTTTAAACATTGGATGAACTGATTATTTTGTCTTTAATAGCCTGCAGCTGAGTCATTAATAAATGACTCATGACAAAAAGTTATGATAACCGATTATCTTTCTATGAGCCCACTATGTCATTATAACATTACCTAGCTTGTTCGGTAGCTTGTTTAACAGCTTATTGGATTGTCAGTCATTTTCTAGGCTACAGCTAGATATGTGCAGATTGATCAGCTGGGGACTGAAATAAACCGTTTATTTTTGCTGTATGTTTGTGTATGTTGTCAGTTATAAAAAATGTAATCTGCGCATCTCTTAGTACAGCGATAATCCTGTGTGTGAACTTATATTAGGCTAATATCGTATATCTACCCGTTGTGTGGGTTTTGCGCATTATATTTAAGATACATCCTCTATCCCAGAAGAAACCTAAATTACTATGTAGCCTAGAGGACGCATGTTATTTAGGATAATATGACCGCATGGTGAACTATGAACTTCAGTCATATTTAAACAACTAGTGCTTTGTGTTGTTGGCCAGAAAAATAATAGCAAGACTTCCCTCTGTGTGCACATATCCTATAAAAATAAAATTTTGGCTGTATTATTTGTGTCACCTTCAAAAATTGCTCTTGAGAAATTTTATGTTTATTGTACCCCCATCCTTGAGTTGAAATTTACGCCCATGCTCCGAACACACAATTAACACAATTAAGTATACAAACTCATACTGTACTAACAAAATAACTGTAACCCTTTCCAATAATTTGTAAAGAAGTAGTCCAGCAATTGCACTTTCATAAAGTAGGGGGGGACAAAAGAGACATATGTTAGAAAAAAGTGGTCAAAATTGAATTGTGTATTTTAGTACGTATGTGTCGAACTCCAAAAACACTGGATGCTAAATTTCCCATAATGCAACCAACTGCATCTGACCCTCCCAGCCTTTCTGCCCACATCTTTTAAACTTAATGACCCTAGTTTGTATTCCACAATACTGATGACATCATGACGAGATCAGGAATTATTTTCTTACCATACAACGGTTTTCACAGGCTGATGAGTGCTCTCAATGACGTGTCGTGACGTGAGCATGCTCTCACTCAGTCAAGCTCAATATCTTTAGGAGGACCTTTGCAAACACAATGCCTGAGAAATAACCACCAGCAGAACTGCACATCCCTCTGCCAACAACAGTGTACAGTACAAAAAATGTGTGTGAACACATCTCGGCTCCACACAGCTTCGAGCTTAGTATGTTCGATTCTATGCAGTGCAAATCGACGAGTGGCAAAGAGACATGATGACAAACAGTGGGGAATAAGTTTTGAATTGTCGATGTTCTCCCTATTATTCCCTAGTAATCACTGTCTGTTTAGTATTAACTAATGCTTTAGCTAAATATTTCGTATATGATTTCTTATTAAAACATTCATCCGCATACTCCTCGTGTGTATAATCCGCTTCCCAGTTCGTAGTTCAAGTGGTGACTCTCAAAGTTGAATATCTACTGTCCTCTCATAGAACCCAAGCTCCACCAAGAGGACAGAAAAAGGTGTAACACACAAGCGTTTATAACTCTGCTTACACAGAGAATGATCGCTAGATATCTATCACAATGCTTACATCTATTTTGTCTCTTGAGTTAAAACATGTAACCATCAAGTTTACACTGGAAACATGTAGTTATGCTTTGTTACGCCTTTTATTAAGTATATAACAATTAAGAAACAATAAACCCTCTAGTGTTTAATCTTGTTTTGCTTGTCTTTATCTAAATGATTAGAATTAAGTATTGTTGTGGAGAGAGAGATTAAATGGAAAATACGCGCAAAATATATTTTTTATCCCACTAAAAGTTAACACTTTTGAGGCCGAAGACTAACCCCCCCAGAGAATCCCACTCCCAAGATGCCGTCACCACTTCCCAAAAAAAAGAGAAAGTAAAATAAAAGACCTTGTCGTCTTCTCTTGAAAACTAAACTTTTGTACTCTCTTGTATCCTCTTGTAATTACGCTTTCGTGAACTTCCTTTAGTTTTGAAATTCCGATCTTTTTTTCTTTTCATACTTTAAACTTCCTTCAGACGAACTGAGAAAGCTTCAT